CTATTGTAAGTAGTGCTGCTGTGAACGTGGGTGTACAAATATCTTTTCTAGTCATTCTTTTTTATCCTTTTGGGTGTATATGTGCTAAATCTATTTTAATTTTTTCAGGAGCCTCCATATTGTTTTCCACTGTGGCTGCACCATATTACAACGTTACCTTTTAAACAGATTTTCATTATACCTGCTTCTTGTTCTGATTATCCCGGCACCTTCCAGAAAACCGCTTCGTCACGCCCTTTGACTTCTTATGGCCCTGCCTGATCTTCCTCTTTTCCTTCACCGCCTCGAGTCTCTGCCTTTCCAGTCCTTTCAGACGGATGTCACGGCTCGGAGAATCACTTAGCCATAATAACCTCGCTTTCTATTAGCTGTAGCCGATTCCCTCTCTGTCCTACCTGCTTCTCATTAGCTGTAGTTTTTTTTACAGCTCACCAATATCCTGTTAACAATATGATACAGCCAACTACATCCTGTTAGCCCCATCTATTGTACCATCTACATTGATCCTCTTAATTGAATCTATTGTGCTATACATCCTACTTATGTATTTAACTGTATCTGTCCAATAATCTGTGCTATTGACTATACTACCTAATCTGACTTGCTAGCATCCTGTTCATAAGATCTTCATTGCTGCCTCATTGTCATCTGTTAAAACTGTTCACCTGTTTAGATCTCATTAGTTCCAGGTAGCAAAAGCCCACAGGGAAGCTACGCACCTCATTGGCTCTGGGGGCCCAGCTGTGAATGTGCAGGGGCCTTCAACCCTGAAGTACACTCTTACGAAGGATCTTTTCCTTTGGCCAATACTGTACTGCCCATCAGGCTTTATGAACCACATTAATGGAGAGAGAGAGAGAGAGAGGGAGGGAGAATGTGTGTGTGTGTGTGTGTGTGTGTGTGTGTGTGTGTGTGTTCACATACACGGGGTCTGGGATGTGGGGATATGGGAGTTGCCTGGACACTGAGCATTGGAAATCCTGGTGAGAAGGAAGAGTGTGGAAGGAGAATGCAGAATGGAGAGAGGCTAGAGGGAGGGAGGGAGGACTGCAGGATGAAGTCAGTGTTCATTTGGCAGGACAGAAACCTTTTGACGCCATCTTTTTTGTTAATGGCTGACAAGCCTGGATGACTGTGCATCGTAGCAATCCTTGGAATGTTGCCAGAAGGACAGCCCATCCTAGTTTCCTTTCAGTTTTATGATCCCGGGCTCATCTGAGCCCTAATGAAGAGGAGGCTCTGCTCCAAGCAACCCTCCCCCCTATCCCACCCCCCCCACACACACACTTGGGCCACGTCAGTGATTGGTGAGCAGCCACCATAGTCAAAGACCCTGTACCTTTAGGCAACCAGAGAGTGATGTCAACGTGTAGGACAAGGCCTGGCACACAGCAAATGCTCTTGAAGTATTGGTTGAATATTGTAAAAGGGTGACTTACGGAATCTGTCTTTTCTTTGTCGTCACATATCTTACTTACACTTGAGTTCAAGAAAAGATAAGGGGTCCTTGGCAGCCATCCAGTACACACTGGGGTTACTGTCTGGAGGAACACTTGTGCATTAAAAAGGCTGGCTTACCTGTGTGTTTGTAATAGAATTCTCGAGTGGTCATGTAGTAATCCTTTGCATTTCTGAAACACTTTTTTAAAGCACTACCGAAATTGCGATCTTATTTTAGTTCACGGGCTCCTATGGATTTTTGACCTCCCATTGTTAAACGGAGAAACTGACACCCTACTAGGGTCTCATGGTAGAGGCAGTTATTACAAGCCTCCCAACTGCTGTTTAGCTGCCTGTCTGTATGGCACACAGCAATACGGGGGAGAATTTTCAGGGCCCAGCTATGTTCCAAACTGAACATGTGAATGCCTCACCTCTGGGCAGTGTTGGGGATATTTCTCCTTATAATTCTGTGTGCTGGGCAGAAGCTTTCACAGATGTGCCAGCACAGCTGTGCAACCCCAGGCCCAGCTTTGTGTAAATGAAACATCCCCACCCCCCAGCTCCATGGCCAACCTCTGGGTTCTGTGTTTACTAAACACCTGCTGATACCCCACCCTAAACACAGCTGAAGTCTGGGACCATTTCCTGTACCTGAAGTCCCCTCCCTTCTTCCTGCTCCCTGTGCCCATTGAAAAGCAGACGTTGACAGGTCCCCTGGCATCTGTGTCTGAGCCACAGAGGTGAGGGACCTGAGGGCTTCCAGGTAGGATTGGTCCATCCTGAAGCTTGAAAAAGCATCAGGCTGTACTGTGCTGAATAGTGTCCCCTAAATTCAAGTGTACCTAGAATCTCAGAAGGTGACTTCGTTTGGAAATAGGGTCTTTGCAGATGTAATTAGCTAAGGATCTTGAGAGGGAATCATCCTGGATTTAGGATGGGCCCTACATCCAGTGACTGGAGTCCTTATAGGAGGAGAGGACACAGACACACAGGGAGGAAGGCCACATGAGGACAGAGGCAGAGATTGGAGCGATGCTGCCATAAGCCAGGGAAGGCCTGGGCCACCAGAAGCTGGAAGAGGCGAGAAAGGGTTCTCCCCTAGAGCCTTCAGCGAGAACAAGGCCCTGCCGACGCGTGCATTTCAGACTTCTGGCCTCTAGGAGTGTGAGAGAATATGCTTCTGTTACTTGAAGCCACTAAATTTGTGGTAATTTGTTCCGGCTGCCACAGGAAACCAATATGCCTGCTGACTAGCAGATAGGAGGTGGGACATTACAGCTGGTCCCACAGACAGGCTGTTGAGGGTTCATTGCTCCCCTCACTTGCCTTGCCTTCAGAACCTGGGGGAGTTCTTGTGCCAAGCCAGTCTAAGGAGCAAGTTGAAAACAAGAGTTAGGAGGAAGCCCATGGCTTGACTTCCCTGTTGTCACCCTCATCTTCTGTGCCCTCTCGCCACCATTATTTCAACCTTCCTGTGGTGCCCACCATCGGCCAAGGACCATGTGGCTCTTTATCATTTCACACCATCCTTGTCTTAGGTCAGGCTGCCAGAACAAAATACCGTAGACTGGGTGGCTTAAATAACACATTTATTCCTCTCATTCCTGGAGGCTGCAAAGTGCAGGAACAAGGTGCTGACTAATTTGGTTCCTGGTAAGGACCCTTTGCTTGACTTGCGGGGGGTTCCCTTCTCGCTGTGTCCTTATGTGGCAAAGAGAGAGAGAGGCAGCAGCCTCTGTGGTGTCTCTTCTTACATGGCCGATGACCCCATCATGAGAACCCCGCCCTCATGACCTCACCTCACCTTACTTACCTCCCAAAGGCTCCACCTCCGAACGCCACCCCATTGAGGGTTAGGGCTTCAGCATATGACTTTGGGTGGGGGACACAATTCACCCCATGGTACCTTATGAGGATACTATTAAGTAAGTTGTTCTGTCCTTCCTAGTTTTACACTTGATATTTCTTTTCTTTTTTTTTTAAAGATTTTTTTTTTATTGGGGAATTGGGGGGATGGGAACAGTGCTGGGGAATTGGGGAAGGGGAACAGAGAAGTTGCTGTCGTTTTGTTCTTCAATCTAGTTGTGGAGGATGTTGCTTCACTGGCCCAAGTTGGCACCATCATTGCGCTCTTCCCGGGTGAGGCAGATCAGTCGCCGGCTTCTGGACGGCCGCTCACTGCGGCTGCTGGCCGCTCACGCTGGCTGCAGGCTACACACGGTAGCCCATGGCAACCCACTGCCACAGGGACTGCAGCCCACGCCGTCGCCGGCGACTCACGGCAGCCCAGCTCCAGGTTGAGCTGTTGTTCAGCATCTTAGCTGTGGAGGGCAGTGTCACTGGCCCTCACATGTGGGATCCAAACTGGGGCCCTCTGGCATCCCAAGCGAGTTCTTAACCATCGTGCCACTCGGCCGGCCCACACTTGATATTTCTTAAGCTGCTCAAGGTCACGCAGCTGGCAAGCAGCAGGGCCAGGATTTGAATGTGTGTCTAATTCCACTTCAGAGCCTGCACACTTAATCACTATGCTACACTGATTGAACCTGTGTCATACTAATAATAATAGCAGCTAATGGCTGACATAGCAAGAAGAAAGCCTGCCAGAATTGTAATAACCCTCATTGGCTCCCCCACCGCCTTCTTCCCCCCACCCCCGCCTGCCCCTTTCTTTCGGGGCCACATCACATGATCCCTGTTCCTTGGGTGACCCATGATGCTCACACTCAGGTGGTCTCTGGTAGCTTGTCCCTATCTCTTTCCATCTGACACATTCTTGCTCATCCCACATGGCCCATTTTAAATGTGCTCTGCACATATTATCTAGCACATATCACATGGCTTTTAAACCCTATGGTGTGTGTTTGTCTTTTCCAAGCTGGAGTGGGAGCCCCTTTGACACTGGACTAGATCTTTCTATTTTGGCATCTGGTACCTTCCATAGCACCTCTGACTCTCCAAAGCCCCCAATAAATATTTGAATAAGTGAAACAGGTAGAAGACATGGATATCATTAAGTAACAAATACTCCGCAGAAAGGGCTGTTACTTTTAAAAAAGCATGAGAAAGCAAAGAATATCAGATACTCTAAGACAAGTACTTGTAGAAGGAACCACTGAAAGTATTGAGTTTTGAAAGCAAGTGTTTAATTTAAGCTCTTCCGTCTGTGTGCTTACCCGTGACACTCAGTTCAATATAATGGTCAATCTATATTTTGAGATTTACTATGGTTCTCATGGACTTTTCTTCTTTTTTCCTTATCTGCTTTACTCATCTAAATATGTATTCTTCGAAAGCTTGTCCTATTCCTAAACATAATTTGCATTTGTGATAGCACAGTCCTCGTTTTATGCTGGCCCCATTGGGAATGGAGGGTTCAACTTGCCGGTACTTCATTTAAGGCAGACTTTCCAGGAGGCGTGCGTCTTAATGTGTAAACAGAGGCCTGTGTTGTTTCTTAGGTTGCCTTATCAAAAGAGGGACAGTTTGTATCTGTGGGAAATCCCACTCCAGGCTTTTTTTCTAACCACTCTCCCATCTCTGTCCTCCCATTGCAGGCTGGCCATGGGTGACCCTCTCTGTCCTGGGATTCCTGTACTGCTACTCCCACGTGGGCATTGCCTGGGCCCAGACATACGCCATGAACTAATGCTGCCGGACCCCGCTCAGCGCTGTTGCTGGCCTCCAAGGCAAATGGTGCTTCTTCCTGACCTCACACCCCAAGATAACCTCCAAGGGACCATCTGCTCATCTTTTCTTGAAGTTACCTCACTCCAAAACTGGAAGCATGAGTTCTGTCATAGAAACTTGACAACCAGAGAATCTTCTAACTTGGGGGACTTCGACATCATCTCCCCACATCATCATTTTCCTGTTGAGTAAGCTGGGCTCCGGAGCAGTAGAGGGTCTTGCCCAGATGCACATGGTGACATTGTGGCTTAGAAGCCACCCAGTCCCAAGGGTTTTTGGGGTTCTTCCTCCTTTACCAAGAATTAGATGTAATTGTGCATTTCTTGATTGAGGCCCAGAAATTCTGACTAGCGCTAAGCCTGTCCTCCACTCGGCAGTATTTCTGAAACATTTTGGGGACTATTCTGTGACCCTTTCCCCATGTCCTGCAGTGTGCTCACTAGAACCAGCACTGGGGTTTGAGCTTCACACTCCAGCTCCTCAGCAGGGAGGTGACAAAGCCACAGCTGTTTCTCATTATCCAATCAGAGAAGATAGAATACATTCTGTCACATTCCAAGGAGTCAGTACCCAGGAGACCTGGTATTTGAGCTTCATCAGTGCAGTCTACATCTGGCTGCTTGTTCCCTAGATTTGCGGAGCAGTATAAACACGGCAGTGCCTCCGCCTGACAGCTCATCGTTTCCACATAAAGAAGCAGGATTTACAAAACAAGCAATAGCGTATCCACGGGCAGGTGCTACCAGGCGAGTCACAGAGGGTGAGGTGGCTTCCCATGGCCTTCTCCCTATGCAAGTGGTTTCCTTCAGTGGTTTACACTTGTTTTGTTTTAAATAAAATGGAGCCTTTTCTATCACATAGGCAAGACACATTTTTGTAGAATCGTTTTGAATATTTGTTGAGGAAAATGTTTAACATCTAAACACACTCACATAACTCTTCAATTAGTCACCCCTCTGGAAAGATGCTGACAGGCCACTAATGGCCCCAAATGGTAGACAATTCAGAATACTTCCTTTCAGCTTTGGATTTTTGTTGAGGGGATGGTGGTGGGAGAGTCAGTGAAAAAGCTTTAAGATTTGAATCCATAGTGTACCCAATAATGGGAGAACTTAGAACAACTCAAGTGCATAAATTAAGTTGTCGTGAGGCTCACTTAGTCCTGGTCTGTGTCACACTGTCTCTTGTTTGTTATTTGTTATTGTCCCTGTATCCTGACTGTGGGAGATTAAACTCCTAGAGTGCAGGACCAGTTATTTTGCTGTTGTCCTTTCTTCCTAGCCACTCTGTTTGGAAGAGGGAGAGAGGGAGCCCGAATGTGGATGGCCGGGGGTGGGCATACACCCTGGTAGCTGCAGCAAAGGGCAGAGGCCAGAGGGCCAGGCAGGGCAGGGCAGCAGCGGCCTCAGCAGCCATTGGTAAAGGAGGAGACAGACAAAGGCAATCCCAAGGTGCTGAGAAGTTTTAAGATGGGAATGAGGCTGTGGAAGAGCCACCACTCAAATGAATACAGTAAAACTTGATGGACTAACACTAATTTGGGAACTGTGGTCAGCCAGGGGGAGTTTGGCTGAGGTTTATATGGAAGGGGCTGGCCAAGGAAAAGAAGGCAGTGTGGAGATTGTAAGGAAATGTCTAATATATATATATATATATATATTCATTGTTTTCTTTAGCTCTTTGCTAGTCCCCATCTATAATAGGAAAACCTCTTCATGCATAGGAACTAAAATCTTGGAGTTGCTTTAAATGAGAGACTCTTGAGGACAGAGCAGTTCCAGCTGAGGAACATCAGCTGGGTGACACATGTCACTTTCCAGTCATCAGCCCTGGGCAACGTCAGGCACAGGGCTGGGAAATAACTAGACAAGGTCCCAAGGTCACTTCCAGCCACAGGACCCTCTCACCTCAACCTAGAAAAAGCTGACGAGCTATAAGTATGATCCCCAACAAGGAGGCAAGCAAGACATCTGAAGGCTAGCCAAATCCTGCTCAGTTTTGACTAATTCCTGGGACCATGCAAGATCGCTTAAAAGCATTTTGTAATTTCTTCAGATTAATTTGTTTGAAGTGACAGCAGAAAACCTTTTGTTCTACTCAAGACTGCTAACCTAACCTAGAAAGAAAATATATCAATGACATATGTAATGATCTATATATTGGGAGAATAGCAATTTAGTGGGAGGGGGTTCCGCTTAGAGAAATTGTGACTGCTCACTTGCTTACTTAAAAATGATAATTGTTGAACAAGTGTAAGAAATTAACCATAATATAATGAGTTTGTTTTCTAGCAAATGTACTAGAACGTATCCATTCAATAGGGCCAATTATTGAGAAGCCAGATTATCTTAACAGTGCTGGCTGGCCTTTCTCAGTACATGTTGAGAAGTTTCTCTAAGGCCTTTTTTCAGAGAAATTGTTTTATTTTAAAACCAACAAAATCCCTCTTTTTTTTAATAGTTGAAACCCATTTGGCACCCCAAATGCACTATCACTTGGCTCTGTATTACTAGTCCTTTTGACTAATTATAAAAATCATATTCACAGATAGATTTTTTTCACCAGTTAGTATATCTGAAGAATGTAATGTTTAGTGCTCAGCTAGATGAGACCTTTGAAATGAATATCAATCATTTGGAATTCTAGGCAGTATACCCTTAAGTTATTTGTATTATGTTTTGCTGCAAGGTAATTAAATAATAGAGTGTTGGGAGAATGTCATTGAAAATATTGTATTCATACTATAGCCCTATGAGATCAAGCAGAGGCCTGAATGTGGATTGCAGGTCAGAGGCCCCACCCCTGAAAGTACCACTGTCTGTAAAAAGAAAAGTGTCATTTTTGACATGCAGTCCATTGGTATCAAATAACAACTCAGGTTGGCACTATTGTAGAGAGTCTTGCCATGCGCAGAAAGCAATACCTATTAAAACCACAGCAGAGCTGAAACAGTGCTGGTTTATAGGAGGAGTTAGTTTAGGGCCAAGCAGTCCTCTGCCTTAACAGCTTGAAAACATCAATGAATTCAGGCACAGGTGAAACTCATATTGTTGACACTGAGTCGTTCGGCAGAGATTCAGTTGTTGTTGTTTTTACAGTATATTTTAAAAGGCAGGGAAGCATTCATATATCTCCTGCAAATTTCAATCCAATTTGTTCAAAATTAAACAGCTCACTTCTAAGTGGAGGTCAGTTTCAGATATGTGTTAAGTCAATGCGTTGTACCACAACGTTCCAGGGACGCCAGGTTTTGGAGGCATCTCTGTCATTGGTATAGCATGTCCAGCTCTGTTCCAGATGATATTGCAAAGCACCTTCTCAACGATTCTTTTGCCATGCAGTACTCTGACACACAATCTTAGTGTCTCTAGAATTTTAAGTTCTCCAAAACCCACAATTATTGGAGCTATCCAAATGAGAGCTCCCCAAACTCTTGAAAAGGAATAGAAAATACCATCCTTATTCTGTCATCTTAGGTCAGAACACCCAATGCAATGCCTTGAAATTATGTAAGGAAAGGCAAAAGCAAGTATCATGTATAAAATAGTTTATTACCATAATAAATAAAATTAAACTTTTTTTTTTTTTTTTTTTACAAATATCATTTGTGCTTGTTTAAAAATGTCGAGAAGGAACTATCAATGGAGGGGCCCACATGTTCCTCTGAATATCCCCAAGTTGCAGACATACAGTGGCACTCCTGGCAGCATCCTCCACTGGCCACAAAAATAGTATCAGCTCATTTGCACTTTTGTTTATTCATGCTCATTTGGACAAAGTGGCAGATGCAAAGGAAAAAGGAACACCCAATGAAGGATTTGGCAGGACTCAAGTGGAAAGTGTGTTAATATACGAAGTGCCAGGATGACAAATTGCTCATGAGTGGAAGTGTCCTTGTAGTGTCGGCAAAATGTCGGATGTGGACAGTCTCCAACTGATGCACAAATACAGTGTCTGAATATTAAGAGAATACATTCATTAGGGGGAGGTTGTATCTTTCTTAACATAAAAGCAATTCATATCCTGATACAAAACCCATGAACTTCTTGTGGAACAGCTAATGGATCCAGAAGTCACAGATAACAGAGACACTGGCTCTAAGAGAAGTTTAATGGCAGGCGGGGAGGGCGCCCACCGGGTTATTCAAGTCCAGTTCTAGAGGTTCCAGAAGAAGTCTGATGTGCTGTCATGAAAATGAAGCTTCCTGTGGAACTAATTTAAGTTTCAGGCAAATTCTCATTGATTCGTTTGAACTGCGAGGGATGGAAATGAAAACTTCTCCTCCACATGACCCTTCTGGGTGAGAAATTGGTGCTTTGATGGCCGAAGTTGGTGCTGAGAGGACAGTTGAAATCTCCAGTTGGAGGGCACAAGAGCTGGTGAAGATAGTTTTTATTGAAGCGAGAGAGAAGACAGTACAATGATTTAGTGACAGAAGAGAGGCTGTCCGGGGGCTGGAGGGTGCCCTCCGTGGGCCTCCTCTTAAAGCAACATTGTGAGGAGGGAGGAGAAGGGAAAGAGTGTTGGCAGCTCCAGCACAGTTGGAGTTCCATTCAAGGGTCTTAAGGCTAAACATCTTTATTGCAAAACACTGTGCAATCTATTCATCCAATGCACATCAACTTGCGTGTCCACCAGGGCTCCGAAAATTCCCCAGAGAAAGCATACGCCACGTGGCGGTCAGTGCAACAAGGGGAGATGACGCTCTTCCTACACCTGGTATGTCTAAGGCGTTCATTTGGTCCCCACACAGGCTTGGATAAAAGTTTGAAAATTGGTTTTGTTGCTCTAAATAAAGAGGCAAGCTCAAAACTGTCAAAGAAGATGAGTTTTTGGAAATAGCGGAGGAATTTAGGACTCACCTGTTGCTTGCTACAGTTTGTCCTGAATTGCAATTCCTCTACTATACCCAAATAAACTCATCATATATCTATTTATTTATTTACTTAGTTATTTTGACAATTTTGAGCTTGCCTCTTTATTTAGGTGACATTCCTTGGTGTCAGAAGTAGGATCCGAAGGAAAAGACTCCCAAAGGACAAGGACCCTCGGAATGGAGCCCTTTGTGCTCAGCACTTCCGTGAGTCGCCGTCACTTCCGTTTGGGTGAGTCTTCTCTTGGATTCTGAGCCTCCTCCCTTTGGTTGAGCTCTCCGACTTTATTCGGCACCTGTTTAAAATGCTTCATTCTTGCTGTTTAAGGGTGTCTCCTTTTTGGTGAGCACTTGTTTTCTTGTTAGACATGCACTGAATTTTGGTATAATTACTTCGGAATTCTTGAGAACAAAAATTAAAAATAGTGTCAGTGGGTGTGGGCGGAGCAAATAAATCTACCCCAGCACTCACCGCCTCCTAATGAGAGACTTCGATCTCTGAAGCAAAAGAAGATATGATGGTCACAGACAGGCCAGATTGACAATGGGTTGCCCGCCAACTGCCAGGAAAATTTCTATGCCACGGGGGACACCTGGGCAAAGGCCTTCAGCCACAAGAAAAATGTATCCTGCGACAGGCACCCTCTCGCTGTAAACCAAAATAATACACCTACCGACCCCAGAAGCGCCCCCTTCAGGTTATTTAGGAATTTTTCTTTTGCTCTCAAAACCTGCGGGGAAATGGGAATCCAGTCATCTAACTGCCTAAGAATAGCCTTCCCTCAAGGACCCCAGCTGGCTTTATGTTAAAAAGTTACAGTTTTGCTTCACGTGCATTTTTGACTAAATGGACCAACCTTACTAAAAGATAATTTAGAACTTCAGTGGCCATTAAGCCGGCTCTTGATCTCCCCAAACTTGTTTTTCTCTGGACTAAATTAGAAGACCACTGCAATACACTAAAGAACCTGAACAGGGATGGCTATTTTAATTGGTACCTACAGGCTTCTAAACACAGGATTCTAAAATTGCATCTTTACAAAGTACTCTTTCTAAGTTCACTGAAGAAAATAAATCACTAAAAGGAGACTCAGAGCCATCTGAAGCCTCTTCCTGGGCAGCATCAGCTATGGTTTGCCCTAACACTCTATATTTGCTCCACCTTTTCTACCTTTGCCCTCTAAATCTACCTTTGCCCTAGTCTAACCCCCTTCCTTTATCTGAACATCCCTTTTTTAGTGCTAATACCTTACCAACTGAGCCTGTTACAACGCTTCCTTTTAACATGAGGCCCTCTCAGGATCCTGGGAAATCATTAATTTCTAACATCCTATGGACCAAAGCTGAACTTAGAGCGATAGTAAAAGATTTTCCCAAGGTAACTGAGGGTCCTCACAGATTTGCTGAAGAATTCAATATTGTCATTCAAACGTAACAACGTGGCTTCTCTGCTCTTTCTCAGTGAATCCACGGGCTTGCCGGAGAACACTGCATTAAATGGTGGGTAGTGGAAGGTTCCGTCAGTTCATCTGAAGCTTGTGGTCCTTGCTTGGGAACCCAGAGCAGCAAGTCTCCAGGCAAGAGTAGGTAGTTAGCATGAAGCAGCCTGCGGCCAGGTACATGTCATAAAAATGAAAGAAGAGAAGGTTTGGCTCATTTAAAAACTGTTTGTTTGTTTGTTTTCTCAGAGGAAATAATTATAGCAAAAACCCCTAAAGTCCTTAACTGGAGAGCAAGAGCATATACGACCACACTTGTAGTGCTCTCAGCATCACCCACAGGCGCACGTGTGACCCCGAGATGAGCAGATTGGACTTCCACCAAGCCCAGGCTGAATCCTAGGAGTCAGTCCTAGGAGTACATTCATGAAGCTTTATCCACCCCCCACCCCCCGCCCCCAAACAAGTCTGGACTTTGAAGCCTCACACATCAGCATCTTTGCCCCTCAGACCCAGACGGGGAGTCGTTTCTGAATGACCTGTGCCCTCAGGCAGAGCTGAGGGGAATGGGAAGGGCTGCTTTACATTGGCCTGCAGGGTGCTGGGCAGGAAGGTGGCGTCAAGGCCCTGGAGAGCCGGGCCGATTCAGCTGAAGCTGGACATTAGCGTTACTAGCGCCCTTGCCCTGCCTTAAAAGTAGTGGGTCCAAACCTTTGCAAGCGAGTTAAGGAGCATGTTTGAGGAACGTTGCTGGGACAGCTGGTAGACGGGATTCCAGAGAGGTTACTAGCCCAAGGACTAGTTGGCAGCTTCTGAAATTAAAGAGGCTGGAAGCCCCCACAGCTCTATCCAGAGTCATGAACAGTCATGACAGGAAATTTCACTTCCTCTCCTTTGTCTGCTGCCATCTGAAGCTGAATCTAATTTCTCAGCCTCCGGAAGCCAGGGGCCACCCTGTTAGCCTCAATGAGACGCTGCGTAAGTATGTGGGGGTCTCTGGGGAAGGACCTGGCTTTGACCTCCAGACTCTGCTCCCCAAGGCCATCTGTGCCAACCCTGGGAGCCAGGAGAGGATAGTCCCGTTCTGCACAGACAACTGCACAGAGGGCCAAGTCCTGGGTCATATAATGGTCATTGAGCAGGTGAGAGGGTGGGCCCAGACAGGAGGCTTTCAGAAAGACTGGCTATCTTTGGTAGGGCAGGACCTGACCTGTCAGGTTCCCTTCAGCACTGGGATTCAGACTCTAGCAAAGCAATGCCAGGCAGAGGTGCTAAGGATGGGGTTGCTGCAATGTACCATGGGCAAAAGTCAGTGCCCTGGATGATTCTGTGCTGTCACTCATGGTCCAGACCACCTGCACTGCTAATTTCACTCTCAAAGCTGAGTTCTTAAAGCTGAACTTCCAATCTTGCTTGACAAGTTTTAGGGTTCTGATTCCTCCCTCTAGGGCATACACCTGGGCTAGCCCCGATCGCCTGGGAGAGACCTCTTCTCTTTCCTTTCTCAGACACCCTTGAAAGAAGCCCACGCACACAAATGACCTGACCCCAGGTGACTGTGAGGCAGTGTAGTGTCCCCGAGCACCATGGCATAGGGACTTGGGTGGCCCACAGGTGGCTCCAGGATCCTCGTTCTGGGCTCCAACCTTCCCCGTGGATCCCAGCTGCACGGCCACCCCTCTCCATCACCATAAAGAGACAGCTCGAAAACCCACTGCCTCATTCTCTTTTTCCAGCTCCCGAAGCAAGTACAATCTTGGTCCTGCAATCTTCTCACATTTTCTCTTCAAGTCCTACTGACTTAAGTAAGAGATAAAGACATTAGCTTTAAAGTAAGGCCAAGCCTGGCTCCCAAGTGTCCTCTAATGACACCATGAAGTGGACAAAATACAAACTCCTGAAGGGCAATCCCGGTGAGAATTATAATATAAACATAGCAATTGCTACATTCATTTTTCTGAGGTTCTGTGTGTGTGTGTGTGTGTGTGTGTGTGTGTGTGTGTGTGTGTGTGTGTCTGCTTTGCTAATAAAGCAACTCTGGGCTCGTCACCCTTGCTGCTGATACCCCATACCCTGAGGAATGTCACAAGAACGCGTGGGAGAGGGACTGAGAAGGGAAAGAAGCACAGGGGCGTGTGCGATGAGGCCAGTGGCATGGAGCAAGGCCAGAGACTCATCCGGGACCTCCAGAGCCCTCCCCGCTGGCCATCCCATCGGAGCGGGCTGTGGAGAATCTCTGGATCCCAAGGGCCCCTCTGCAGCTCTTACACTTGGCTCACCTCTTTGGGGAAAGAGGACCTGAGGATTCCTGGCTCTCAGTGTCTATGGGAGGCACCCACAGCACCTCAGCTGCTTTTTGGCCTCAGCCATTAGAGACAGAAAGTTGAAAGGCTCTGCACTCCCTGTCCCTCCATGTCCCCTTGTCCCAAGCTTGTTACAAATGATGACTGTAGGAAAATATACGGTCACATCAGACACAGGCTGTACAAGGACAGGGAATGCTGGGAAATCCCTGTGCCCATAGCAGGCTTTGGGGGTCTTGGCGACAGAGCCCAGCATAGTATATACAGGAGGGGTTCCTGGTGCTCTCCCACGACTCCCCAAATGGCTGCTACTCTTTTCTGGTAGCTTTCATCTTTTACAAATATCATGGCAGTAAAAAATTAAAAAGGAAGGAAAATACCCTTTAGACAGCACGCGCCCCCTCTTCCAAAATTGTGCAAAGACAGTTCAGGTGGAGCTGCCGTCCTGCAGGGTGGCAGCACACTTCTCTTCCCGTATCTTTTCCCAGTTGGAGAACAAGAGAGAGTGTGTGCCTAAGTGACTGGTCCCACTTAGATTTTCTGTCGGGAAAAGCCTACTTTCCAAGTTGTTGGTCATGTAGGTGTGTGTGGTGGGGTGGCGTCTCGGGCAGGGTGGTCGGTTTTTGTCTTTGACTTTTTTTTTTTTAACAGACCTCTCAGCTCGCCCCAAAAATGTCTCTCTCTGATTCCGGGGACTGGGGCCTCGATATTTCGAATAGCTCCTGAGGAGACTGAGAGGATCTTCTGGAAGTTAATATCCTGAGTATCTCAGAGAGCTGTTTCTCGATACTTGTCATTTTGTTGTTCAAGGCCTTGATGTCCTCCTTCAGCTCATGTTTCACCTCCAGGATGGTGGCCTGCAGCGTCTGCTCAGGGATGGGGTAGAAAGAATGCTTGACCTCCGCCAAGACGGGGCTCCGGTCCTGGGGGCTCCTGGCTTCGCCAACGTTGTCCAGACGCAAGTCGCTCTTGGTGATGCCGCTGTCGCATGAGTCTGTCTTCTTCAGTGTGGCCTCCCCTGATGTCTTGGTCCTCTCGGGAAGCGTCTCCATGGACTCGGCCTTGGACACCTTGTTCCAGTCCTCACCCTTCCCGCAAGCATCTTTGAAGCGGGCCCAGCCTTTGCGCTTGGCACAGTCGCCCCCACCGCCCTTGGGGCCCAGGCACTCGGCCCCGGGCGCGTGAAGCTTGGCGTGGTCCGACACCACTGAGGTGCAGGCCGTGGGGAAGGACACGGGCGTGGCGGGGCTCTCGCGGACAGTGACCACACTGGCCTTCACGAGGCTGTGGTTGGCCGAGGCGTGCTCCACGAGGACACTGCCCTTCTCCACGTCCAGGTCATCCAGGTCCCGGACCCCCCTCTCTGCTGCCAGCCTTGCCTCCTTCTGCTGTCGGAACCTCTGGAAGAGTCGCCGGACAGGGTGGTCTGGGGGCAAGATCAGGGGGGCCTCATTCTTCCGTTTCCTGCGTTCCTCCTCTTCCCGCTTCACGTCGCTGATCTTTCGGAATACGATCTGGAGTGAGACAGGATGACACACTGTGTTAATGGGCTGCTCAGCCACTCTGCCTGTCACAGCTCATGGCTCCCAGTCCCCTGTCCCCAAGGGCTGAGGTTCATAGTCCTTGGACATCCCTGCAAGGCCTCCCTGGGCTTTTCACAGTGACTGCCATCATTACCTTTTCTTGACATTCTTCCCAGCCTTCCAACATCAAGAAATTGACTCTTGTTGTTGTCCTCTTCAAGAGAAACAAACTCCCAACCCAGCCTCTGCACCCCCACAGGCCAGGAGGCTGGAGACGCCAAATGGCCTTCTCTGGGCCTCTGGGCTGGGGTCCCCTTTAACCCACCCATGCCTACAATTCAGTATCACCTGGTGTGTTTTTCAAACATCATTTTTCTAACCCCAGCTCACATCTACTGCATCAGAATCTCCAGACAGGAAGCCCTTGAGCCTGTAACTTAAGCTCTCCAGGTGATATGTGTCTAAACCACACTCCATGGGAAGAAATTTCAGCCAAGCCCACAGACTGCCATTGCCACGTGCAGGTCTGAACCCTAAGTGAATGCGGTTGGCTATGAAGAGTAAAAGCTAGTCTCACACGGAAGCCCTCCTAGTGTCCTCAGGGAGCTTACAGGGAAGAAAGGCCCATGACCTTGCACATGAACTTCGCGGCTTGTAAGGTACTTTAATGGTATTTCATGCATTCCTTACAACAGCACTATCAAGGTCACTGAGGCACACATTATTATCCCCATTTTGGAGAAGCAGAAATCAAGGCTCAGAGTGGTTCAATGTCACATAACAGGAAAGTTTCCTATAAGGAACTTGCACCCAAGCCATCAAACTCCGGATCCGTTAGATGTCCAGCGGGTACTCCCTGAAGATGACAGTGCTTCATGCAGAGGACAGACAGACAGCAATACAGACTCATGAGTCTGGCTCTGAGTGCAGTGTGAGCTACATACCTATTTCAGGGCTTTCTCCTGGGCTGACATCAGATTCTGGAAAGTCTGTCATTTATGGCTTATACTGCGTGTGGCAGGTACATTCAGGGACATGTCTGAATCATCCTATACCTGAACTTGTAAGAAACAGTCTGCAAGAGGCCGTCTTTTGAATATAAATTGCTGGTTTGAGGACCAGCAGTATTGAGCTCATCAAGGAGCAGAGGCGAGGCCTGTGGAAGGGACAGTGGCAGCTTGTCCATCACCACAACCTGGAAATCCCTGTGCCCTGAGTGGGCAGCCTCAGACCCACCCCGAACCAGCTCCAAGGACTTGCCACAAACCTCCCAGGTCTTGGGGAGGCACGTCCGGTGGCATGCCAGGAGGATGGGCTTTGGGTTCAGATAGAATTAAGTCCCAGCTCTGCCACCTAGCTTCGTGCCTCAGACAGGCATCTTAACTCCTGAGTCTCAGTTTCCTCCTTAAAAAGTGGGAAAAAAAACCCCACTTTTCTGCTTTGGTGTAAAGCCAGCACCTTTTATGTGAAAGCACAGGCCTCCTGTAGATGCTTAAAATGTGTCATCCTGATCCAGTAAAGAAGGCAGAGGCCTTGATAGGGCTTTTTTCTTTCTTTCTTTCTTTCTTTCTTTCTTTCTTTCTTTCTTTCTTTCTTTCTTTCTTTTCTTTCCTCCTTCCTTCCTTCCTTCCTTCCTTCCTTCCTTCCTTCCTTCCTTCTTTCTTTCTTTCTTTCTTTCTTTTCTTTTTCGCCTCTAGGTACAGATGATGCATAACTACATAACTCACCCTACCTCCTCCAGGACGCCCCCCTGCCCAGAGCTCTCTGATGGCACCACCCATGTTCTCAGATCTGACTGACAAGGACGGTCATTTTGTAGTGCCAATAAATACAGAGGAACTAAACAAACACTGAATTGCCTGATGCCTGCAATCAATCAGCAAATTGCAGGCCAACTGGAGGTTCCCACCTGCCATCCATCTTCTCCATCAAAGCTCCTGTCGCTGCATGACTTTAGCCTCGGGTCACTCACAGGTGGGTGGGATAGAGCGGTCACCCTTCTCACCACCTGGTTAAATCTTCAAGCCACATTACGTGGGTCCCAGTGTGGGGGTGGTTTTCTGACCTCCACTGGGCAGCGTTTCCCCCATCCCTGCTCTGCCCAACTGTGATTTTATAACCCTGCCTCTGCTGGTCCCATCAGCCACAGCCCATCTGCTCCTGCGGTCTAGCCTTTCATTGGCAGTCTTCCACCTCCTTACCGCCCTCCGCTCATGTGGTTTTCTGTTCTGGGAAAGGCCCTTGCTCTCCACTGGGTATCCAACTCCTCCTCATACAGCACCTCTGCCGGAAAGCCCTCCCTGATTCCACGGAGCTCTAACTCCCACCTCTAATGGCCCTTCTGTGCTCACACCACACTGCTGCCCTCATTACACTCTATCTTGCATCCATGTGTAGTAGAGATGCCAACTCTTTCCTCCCTTCTTAGAGAACGGAGGAAGGACGAAGGGGACAAGGAAGGAAGGTGGGACAGAGGGGAGGAGTGAGAAAAGGAGGGAGGAAGGAAGAATGAATGAGAATGTGAATGTACCCAAAAGAGATGGCATCTTTTACAGCTGATTGCTCTGGCCCCTCCCCTTTATTCTGTGGGGCGTCTGATTCTTAACAGCATCTGCCCTTTTTTCCACTTGAGCTAGTTTGAGTGGGGTTGTTTCTTATAAGCAACAATTCTCAAACAAGATACTAGTTATTTACATCTTTACCTTATTCCCCCTGAAAGCAACCTCGCGCACAGTACTTGGCATGTCACACCTGTGTCTTTTACTTTAAAACATATATATTGTCTACCCCAACAGAGCAGGGGTTGTCTGTTGTGTTCACTGTGTCCAGCACTTAGAAAATGCCTGGTACTTAGGGGGCCGTCAGTAAATATTTATGGCATGAGTGAATGAATGAATAACAGATAGATATGAGCTAATGAATCAACGGGAGGATGTCTTCTGCCTGGGAAGATGTCATCACAGAGATCATAATCAATGTTATAAAAGGAAGGGATTGGCTCAGCACACACATTGTCCTCTTACCAACTCTTAACATCACAGGTCAGAGGCAGCCCTTGAAACTGGAAATGAGATGTTTTAAGACTAAAGGAAAGGAAGCACTTCTTCAGATATTGAGGCACCAACACAAAACCTCTCCCAAGAGGTTGTACTGTGCAGCACGCCAGTGGGCTAACAAAGGCTTACTATGCATTCACGGTGGACAGTTGTGAGGGGAAGCGGTGGCTCCTCCTTGAGGGGCTGGGTGTGCTCTTCAACCCAAAGCCCATAGAGAGTCAGAATCCTGGACCTGGGGCGGGGTGGGAGGGCCTGGCTTGACTGACAGGTGGCGTATTCAGGCGCTGTGAGTTGTGAATGAGGGCAGCATTGCACTCATGGGCTGGGGCTGTCCTTGGGAGGAAACTTCGGTGTCTGAGTGTGTGATGACTCTTCGGAAGCCTCTTGGCTTTTCCGAAGTGTCATCTCGCACTGCCCTCAGTCATCCTGTGTGCCACAGGCAGCCCCGCCGGAACATCACTGGCTCACCCAATGGGCACGTAAACCAAGGAAGAGCTTCCTGCCCTGCAGAAGTTGCTGAACCCTCCTGTGAAAATCAGCGAGTAAAACCAGCAACAACTCTCCCACCCGCCAAGGACATAGAGCTGATGTGGTCCGACAGCTTTGCTGATCTGGGATCCAGGGCTCTGCTTAGTAACTTCAGCCACTTTTTTGGAGAAGTTGGTCACAGACTCTTCATGTCAGAGGCATCCATGATCAAGCATTTGGCCAAGGATTTTAGGTCCAAGTGGGCAGAGGTGCCCGCATGACCCACGGCAGTGAGGTCTGTGCTGCCAGCACCAGCCACAGCAGCTCTGGTCAGCTCCGAGGTGCTGCCCAGTTCCCACAGCAGGAGTGTGCCCCAGCAATGATGGGCCAGACCCCAAGTCCCATATCCCAGGATGCTCTCTGCTCTCAACAGTCTTTAGCTGGAGGCCTGTGGAAGTCCATCCAGCTTTTCCAAGTGTTCCGTGAAGTTTTAACAGGTACCACGAGGGGGGAAAGTTTTAAAATGAAATTAATTTGAGCCACAGGACAATGTTAAACTGGTTGCTTTACTACAGGGCGTCTCAGAGCCTTCACACGCTAATGTGCCTTACAAATGTCTAAGAGGAATGATGGCAGTATTTCCTAAACACTTTCCCCCAGATTCTCTCTTTGCAAAGGGTAGTATTCCCCCAGAATCCCCTCTGGCAAACACTGAAATTACATCAATGTGGTGGTGGGGGGGTTGGGGGGGGGTGAAGCACCCTCTATATTTGTTAATAGTCCTAATGGGTGAGAAGGAAGTTATCTATTCCATGTTCCAGCTAAATGGTGCCTCCTGTCTCCAACCCTACTGCTGAGCCCCTGCCTGGACTATGGGGTTTGGGGGTCTCCATTGCTGATCCACTGCCCCCTAGTGGATGGACCAAATTCTGTGACATGACTGATGAAGCTGTACCACCAACTCTCCTGCCTCCCAGCCATCTGTCACTCGATATGCTCCGTCTGTACTGAGCAACTTCAAGCCCTGAAAATTCCCTGTTCACTCTGTTGAAACTCCCTTCAATCCCATCTTCCGCCCCATCCCTTCAACCTGACTCCTGACCTTCAGGATTCAGCTTAGGAGTCATCTACTCCAACGAGCTTCCCCGACTCTCCTTCACCTCCTGGGTCAGAAGACCCTTCCTGGTGGTAACAAGCCTGGGGCAGCCACACGTACTTCCATCAAAGATCACTGCGACCATTGCTGAGAAGCAGCATTTTGTTTATTCGTCTTTTCCTTTAGGCGGTAGCTTTATTTAGTTTTGGTTTTTTTTTCCCACCTTCAGTATCATTCCTGGCATATATAGTGATCAAACAATGGTCAATGAATTAATAAATATGTCAGTGAATAAGTTATAGTCATCCCTCTGTTTGTGAGGCCCATGCTAAGGTGAAAGAAGTGATGTGTATGCCATTGCGTGCGTGCGC